GTATTCTTGCTTGTTTAATCGCAGGATGTTTGGCAAAAATAAGAAAAGAAAGTCACAAAAAGCTGCTGCCTCAAGTTCGGAATGGGAAGAGTTCAATCCCAAACTGTTCCAGACCAAGGATCAAAGTGACAACTATGAAGAGAAGAGAATGCACAACCGCAGGGTGGCTCCGGGAAGGCCATTGACGACGGATGCGTATTCTCATTTCGAGAATTACGGGTTTCTGGGACCCTTCATCGAGCAAGAGTGGCTGAAGGTGATATCTCTCAATGTACCATACTACCCAAAACTGGTACAGTACTTCTACAACAACATCGTCTACGAGCGCAATGCAAATGGATCCATTCACGCATTCAAATCCTATGTGAATGGGGTGGCGATGCGCATCAGCAAGAATGTGTTGGCGCAAGTACTTGAGGCTCCAAACGAGGGGAAGAGAATCAATTCTTACGGTGCTTGGAATGAAACGCATTTCACGAGAGCCAAGCAAATCCAGACGGTATGTGGTCTTGATGAAGAGGAAGATGCTCAGGGGCGCAATAGGCCATCGAGTAACCACCTGACAGTTCAAGCCAGAGTTCTTCACCACATGCTTTCCTACAACATTCTGCCAAAGGGTGGACATCGGGAGACAGTCACCTACTTCGACATGGAGCTCCTCACCAACCTACTGTTAAGCGAGAAGGTGAACTTGCCATACTTAATCTTTAACCACATGCTTACTGCTGCAGAGAGTTCAAACAGGAATCTTCCCTATGGGATGATCCTCACTGTGCTATTTGAGCATTTTAATGTGAATTTAAGTGAAGAGGTGGGGTTAAGAATCTCAAGGCAGGAGTTCTATACTGTTTCATCTCTGAAAAAGATGGGCTTTGAGCTGCGTAATGGTGAGTATGTCAGAGTAAACAATGCTCATGGTGGTGATGATGATGATGAGGGTGATGAAGGAGCTCGAGACGAGCCAATGGGGGAGGCACAGAGTTCAACTCAACCGATCACCTTACAGCGTGTGTGGGAGCGCATGGATGGCATGTACGAGTACATGGCCCAGATGTCCACCCAGATGACTGGCATGCACGACTACATGGGGAAAATGACCGCCCAGATGAGCACAATGCAGGTGACCGTGAATGAGATGCGAGATGAGTGGCGATCTTTCAGCGGAAGATACATGCATCCCACCACATCCGACCACCATCATGCTAGCACCACCAATGAAGAAAATGTGGATGAGAGAGAGGGGGGAGATGAGTAGGAGAAATGAGTTTTTATATTGTGTGTTTTGATGGTCAAAACGATTGTTGAGTGTTATTCTGTTGTTTTTTTGTTTTATTTTTAGTTGTGAACAATTATGATTTCTGTTTTATTTTTAGTTGTTATGCTATGAATTGATGAGTCCTTGTTATAATTATGACTAATTATGATGGTTTGAAACATAATTTATACGATTAAAAGAACCACACAAATCGACATACATAAGCAAAAAAGACACGGGGCATAGGGTGACTTTCTTGTATTCGGTCGACCTCGTAACGGATTAGGTCGACCGCGAAACCAACACTTGATCTTGATTTTACGTCAATTAATTGGACACTTTGATAGAACACTCATCTTCTATCTGGTCGACCTCTTTCATCATCCGGTCGACCATTTTGTTAATGACTGCAATCAAGTGGTCGACCTATATACCTTAGGTGGTCGACCATGTTGTTTCTGACGCCAACGAAATGGCCGACCCAGGTTTTATTCTGGTCGACCAAAAATATCAACTTAAACTAAGTGCGGTCGACCAGGTGGTCGTTGAGGTCGACCTCAATGCTTTCTCGTGCTGCCCAAATTAGTCGATTCGGTCGACCGCCTTCAGCAATAGGTCGACCGAAAAGTGCATGTCACCGTGACATGCATGTCATAGTAGGCATACCCATAAAGTTATTATAGACAAAAGTTCTTAGTTATTATTCATTATAAATATTAGCATTGTGCTGATTTTTTATTTACTTTTTTTGTAATTTGGTTAAAGAAATTCATGTCATAACTTTTGTAATTAAAAACCATAATTTTAAGTGAATTTCATATTTTGAACTTTCTTAACTAAATGTGAATGATTTTACTTAGGTTGAGAATGAAAAACTTTATTTGAAAACAATATATTTATTTTAATGAATTTATTTCTACCTCGTATATATATACTTAATTTTTTGAAAAAAACGAGTCAAAATTTTAAATAAATTTATATGACTTGCAAACTTGTTATGTAATTAATCGTAATTGGTAAAGTACACTAGCTAATAGTAATGGTGATATCAATATTTACAATCAAAAGATACCATTAATTATTTATTTGATGTTTTAGTATTATTTCAGTAGTGTAATTGGATTAAAGTATCTCATTTAGTATAACCATGCAAATGTGGTATTTGGCGTGTGGTATTAGGAAAAAGCAGAGTGATAGTAGGAGTTATTACGAAAGAACTTATTGCCCAAATAACTTCAGTAAACTGTTGCCAAACGAGTTATTTGTAAAATTGTTCGAATTATCCTTAAAATTGAACCATTAAAGATTAACTATCAAATCTAGTAAAATTATTGGGACTTCAATCATAACTTACTCAATAACATATATCCTATACACTTAGCCTCACCCTCAATGGACAATATTAAGTTAGTATATGTTTTTGATTGTATACCCTAAACCATCAATACATTATACACTAACCACATACCCTATACCCTAACCATATGTCCTTATGATTGTGATTTTGCTAGTATAGTTAATTTAAAACTGAAATTCATACTTTGATTTTCAAAACATAGATAAAAAGTGATATTTGCTAATTGCTATACCTTAACCATATATATTACACTCTACATCATATACCTTGTACCCTAACCACGTACCACAAACATAAATTAAAAAGGGATCTCCTGCCGTTAAAGACATCAAATGACTTCAAGTGAACATATGTTAATAAAAAACTTAGAACCGTCAAAACCATCAATATCTTATACCCTAACCATATACCTTAAACCATCTGTACCTTGTACCATTTACCCTAACCAATATATTTTATACCCTAAACAACGAACCGTCAAAGATTACTTATCAGGTTTAGTATAATTGTTGTAACTAATGGTTCATTTATTTATTAGCCCATAAACAAATACACACACACACACCCACATATATATATATGGTGCCTTCTACAAGACCCCTAGTGAAATCCAGGGTACCGCATACCTTAAGGCTTAAGTATGAAAACACTATCTAGGCCTCAAATTAGCAGGATTTTTGGGTATGATACTATACCCTAACCCTTAATGAGTGAACCCTAGGTCCTAATTATCTAAATTATAAACTATAAACCCTAAGATGATGCATTAATTTTTTGCCTATATTTGGACGAATCATAACCGTCGATTATTGTTTCTAATTAAATTGATCTTGGGGTATAAGATTTAGAGAATTGAGACCTAGATGTTGATCTTTAAGGGTTAGAGTATAGTATCATGTCCGAAAGATTAGTCAATTCAAGTTCTAGATAGCGTTTTCTTACTCAAGGTATGCGGTACCCCAGATTTCACCCTGGGTACCGTAGAACTCCCCATATATATATATTAGCCTTCAAAGCATATAAGAATAAATTTAACTAGTGATGTCCTCCATATAAAAATTAAAGATTCATATTTCAAAGGCTAAAATTTTGAAAAACCAAAAATTTGAAAACACCAAATTTGTTTCATTCTTTCTTTTCACAAAAAAAAACTACTAAAATTTCTCTCCTTCTTTCTCTTTTCATAAATTACAAACACTCAATTTTCCTCTTCTTTCTCTTCCCTAAAATTGAAAGAACCAGATTTCCCTCTTCCTTCCTTCCACAAAAAGTTGAAAACTCAAAATTTCCCTCCTTATTTCTCTTTCATAATCAAAAGAACCAAACTTTCCCACTTCTTTCTACTCCCACAAATCAAGACCACCAAAATTTTCACTTGTTTCTTTTCTAAAAAATTCAAATAACCAAATTTCCCTCTTCTTTCTCTTCCCAAAAAGTTGAATACACCAAAATTTTCCTCTTCTTTTAAAAACATCAAATTACCAAATATATTACTTTATTTATATTTAATTGATAATTTTATTGAATAGTTGAATTAACCAAAATTTTAATTTATATATTATATTAATATTTTCCATGATCTCAATTATTAATTCTTCATTATTAATATTGACATTATGTTGATTTTATATTTACTTTTTTAATTTTGTTAAAGAACTTAGTGTTCAAGTGACCTTCATGTTTCAATTTTTGTAATTTTATTAAAATACATAATATCAAGTGAGTTTCATATTTTTTAAATTCCCTATACGAAATGAAAAATAATTTTACCTAAGTTTAGAATGAAAAACTTTATTTTGAAAAACTATGTATTGTATATTATAATAACTATTTAAGTGGACTAAGTGAGGTTCGGGTTGAGTCGGTCTGGTTACGGGTTAATCAGGCTGCGGGTCAGTCGGGTTGCGGGTCAATCGGGTTCGGGTTAATCGGGTTGCGGGTCAGTCGGGTTGCGGGTTAGTCGGGTTGCGAGTCAATCGGGTTGCGGGTCGGGCGGGTTACGAGTTGTTGACTTTTAGTCAATTCAGGTTGCGGTCGGGTTGCGGGTCGGATTGATCGGGCGGGTTAATCAGGTCGGGCTATGTTTTGACACCTATAAGTACTAGTAATTAATCAGGCTCCCTTCATGACTGCTAGCTAGCTAGTTAGGATATGGAGTGAGTTTGATGTTGTGATTAATATATAGTCTCAAACTGTAAAGGCATACACTTTTTGCAGCTTGTTGGATTTATCTAGGCACGTTCAGTTGAAGGTTAAAAAAAAAAAAAAGGAAGAAGAAAAAACACGCGGTTGATGATATATATTGGGTATCCTTTGTGCTCTCTCTCCGGTCTCTTTGCACTTGCAGATCGAGAAGAGATATAGAAACATATCACTCACTCCTTATACTCTGTTGTGCCTTTTAAATCTGCATTCCTCTCTCACTCTGCTTTGTCAGCACATGCATTCCACTTTCCACTACACAATCAATCAGCTTTGGACTACCCTCAAGTAAAGCACCTTCCCCTCTTGTCCATATATTTCCCCCAGCCCACTCACTTCCCATCTTCTTCCTCAATCTCTCTTCCAAACAATAACAATATCCTCAAACAGCCATGAATAATCCTACTACCTAACCACACACACACACATAAACCCATATAGCGAGTGCTCTCCATATCATATATACAACCAACCAACCAACCAAAATGAGAACAGGAGGGTGCACGGTCCAGCAGGCTCTCACCCCAGAAGCGGCCAGCGTGGTGAAGCAAGCCGTGACGCTGGCCAGAAGGAGGGGACACGCTCAGGTCACTCCTCTCCACGTGGCGAACACCATGCTTTCCGCCTCCACGGGGCTCCTCCGAACCGCCTGCCTCCAGTCCCACAACCACCCGCTCCAGTGTCGAGCCCTGGAGCTGTGCTTCAACGTCGCCCTCAACCGCCTGCCCGCCTCCACCTCCGCCCCCATGCAGCAGCTCGGAGGCCCTCACCACCACCACCAACAATTACCGCAATACCCTTCCATCTCCAACGCCCTGGTGGCAGCCTTCAAGCGGGCCCAGGCCCACCAGCGCCGCGGCTCCGTGGAGACCCAGCAGCAGCCTCTGCTCGCCGTCAAGATCGAGCTCGACCAGCTCATCATATCCATACTCGACGATCCCAGCGTCAGCAGGGTCATGAGGGAGGCCGGCTTCTCCAGTACCCAGGTCAAGAGCAACGTGGAGCAGGCCGTGTCCTTGGAGATTTGCTCTCAACAAACAACTACTGCCGACACCAAGGACAACAAATTGGTGGTGGCGGTTCACGGTGAAGAAGATGTCAGGAGCGTGATTGAGAATTTGGTATCGAGGCGAGGGGTGGCGATTGTTGGGGAGAGCCTTGGCACGGCGGAAGGTGTGGTGAAAGGAGTGATGGAAAGGGTGGAGAAGGGAGAGGTTCCTGAGGTTTTGAGGCGAGTTAAGTTGGTATCTGTCCCGCCTAATTTTGGGGACGAGCTTAAGGGCGTTGTGAGAGGGTACATGGAGAAAGGTGGGGTGGTTGTGAATTTGGGGGATCTCAAGTGGGCAGCTGATGATGATGGCGGGAGATCGAGGATGGAGCAGTTGGTGATGGATCTTGGGAAATTGAGCTGCAATGATGAGCTGGGAAGGTTATGGATGGTGGGGGTTGCAACTTTTCAAACCTACACCAAGTGTAAATCAACGGTAGAGAGTGTTTGGGGGCTTCATCCAGTGACAATACCTGCGGGAATCCTGCGTTTGACTCTCCTTACTACTACGGACAGGTAAATAATTGCTAGCGAGGAGAAACGATTCATTCATCAGTTACTTTTGCTCTATCTTTTGGTAAAGGTTGCATACATTGGCAGCTCCCTCTTTCTGGGTATAGATTGGTATTCAAGTTTCAAACTAATTTCAACTTTCTCTTACTTTACCAATTACTAAATAAAGCATATCCATCTACTTAGTTCAATCTATTAAAAGGCAGCTGGAAGAAAAGAAGTGAAAAGAAAAGATGCCATCCCTTTTTAACGCCAGATTTAAGTTTAAATCCCGGACACATGTTATCAACTTAGTAGCAAGCAAGGGAAAGGCAGAAGGAGAGAAAAGTAAAATGTCCATATTCATTCTCATTCATGGTCTTGCATACTTATCTCTTTCCTTCCTATCCTTTTTCAGTGAGCTACAAAGCCAGTCAACAGTCAACATTAACAACAGTGGTAAAGGTGAGAATGCTGGGCGGTCAAGCTCAAGCTGGATCAATATTATCCCAGGAGCTGGGGAAGAAGAGGCCAAACAACGCCTAAACTATGGCTGTGGTACTGATTGCTGTTCAGGCAAGTTGGAGAATGAAGAGAATAAAAATAATGGCACTAGTAGTTGCTGTAACAGTTGTGACTCCCCAACTTCCTCCACCCTCCCTGCATGGCTCCGACCTTACAAGTCCCATAACCATCAGGTAGTCATCATTTCTCTCCTGCAATCATCATTCATAGATATGCATGCATGCATGCTACTACTGCTACTACACAAGGGTTGATTAATTGGTTCCATCACACCCTAAATTCGAAATGAAATCAGGAAAACACAAAGCGATTTTCATCAGTATATTCTCTCTTTTGCTGCACTTGGTATTCTCGGCCATTACAAATGTCACATCTTTCAAGTTATTCTTTTTATAAACCGAAAAGGACACCCTCCTAGCTACCTATTCTCTCCACTAACTCTCTACTCACTCTCTTTTGTCCAAAAAAAAAAAAAATATAGGATTCAGTGTCAATCAAGGATCTTTGCAAGAAGTGGAACTCTTCACCAGACCTGCAGATAACATCTCATCACCACCACCATGATTACCACACCACCAACACTAGAATGAGGGGCCTCACATTTGCTTCACTTGTCTCACCTTCACATTCACCTTCCACCTCCATCTCCTCCTACCTCGACCCAACCAGCTTCCGCCACCATCAACCGCCATGGAGGAGCTCTACTACCACCACATCACCATCACTCGACCCGATCCTTCACCATCACCACAACTTCTGGCCCACCAAAACCCTTACCCTTCCCATCGACCATCTCCATAGCCACGGCCCATCCACAGTGGGCCCGGCCCTACGCGTATTCATCCCGGACTACCCTAATAACAAACAAAACCCGCCGCCATTCTTCTCCTCGAACCCTAACTCCCTCTCCACCACCCCTAACTCAACCTCCTCCAGCGACAACACCACCACCGACTACTCCACCCACCGCTTCAACTCGCTCAACTCGGACAACCTCAAAGCACTATGCACCGCCATGGAGACCAAAGTGCCCCGTCAGCGCCACGTCATCCCCGACATCGCCACCACCATCCTCCAGTGCCGCTCCGGCATGGTCAGCAGGAGGCGCTCCAAGGAGGACACGTGGCTCTTCTTCCAGGGCGCCGACGTGGAAGCCAAGGAAGCAATCGCCAAGGAGATCGCCAGGCTGGTGTTCGGCTCCCACCACAGCCTGCTCTCCATTTCCTTGAGCAACTTCTCCTCCGCGGAGGACTACACACACTCTTCTTCTAGAAGCTCGTGCAAGAGAGGGAGACCAGAGGACGAGAAGAGCTACGTGGAGAGGTTTGCGGAGGCTGTCGGGAGGGACCCACACCGAGTGTTTTTTGTTGAGGACGTGGAGCAGGCGGATTACTGCTCGCAGGTCGGGTTCAAGCGGGCTATGGAGAGCGGGAAGGTGACGAGAAGGAACAGTAGTGGCGATGAAGATGAAGAGGTAAGGTTAGGAGACGCCATTGTTATCCTGAGCTGCGAGGGGAGCTTTAGCTGTAGGTCATCGAGAGCTTGTTCACCCACGTCGAAGCACAAGATAAATAATGAAGGCCGGGCGGTGAAGGAAGTAGGAGATGATGATGATGATGATGAGAAAATGGAGGAGGGAGAGAGCCCATGCTTGTCGTTGGATTTGAACATTTGTATTGAAGATGATGATGAAGTTCAGTCGATTGATGATATTGGGATTCTGGAGTTGGTTGATCGACGGATTGTGTTCAAGCTTCCTCGGGAGGAAGATCAATTGTGATGATGTGGCGAATGGGAATTAATATTATTATTTACTTAATTGGTAATTGTGGGGGGGGTGTTAATGGAAAGAGGGATCATATCGATACAAGTCATGTGACGATCGTTCAGATGGTTTTGAGGGGATTTTTTTTATTGTCAAAGATGTTGTTTGGTTCTTTAGGTTTGGGGATATTTGGGTCTATAGATATTCTAATTCCTGTTTCAGTTGGAGAAGTGGTTTTTAGTCTTTTCTTTTAGGGGTTAGGGTTTGGTAGAATATATATGTAGGTATCGTGGGGGTAGATGGTAAGTGGTTTTTAGTCTTTCTTAATGTTTCTGTAAAATAAAATGTACATTACCATTTCCTCCTTTATTTATTTACAGTAAAATGCATTTTATTTTCTTTGATAAACCATTGTCAAGTAAAAAATTAGTTCTAAAAATTAGGGGTACAATGTATGGGTTGGGTTAGTTTAGGTTTAAAAAACTGACATACTCGTTTACCAACGAGTTGGTACAATTGTGACCACAATTCATCTACACACTTATTTGGGTTGGATGGGTAGCGGATGAGTGTGGTTAGTGTGGGTTAACAAGCAAGAACAATTCTCCAACTAATAATAGACAAGTTGACTAACATTTATAATAAATTCATCACAATTTATTAAGAATGCATCAATTTAAACACCTACCAATTTGTCCATATGGAGATGTCTAGTAATTCTATCAAATATTTCATTACTGAATCAACAAATTATGTAGAAAAAATTCACATTTTTTTGGCTACTTAGATACTACTAATAGTTTATAAATTGCGAAATCTCAGTCGACACTCACTCCTTTGCCCCGAGGGCACTTCTTCGCTCACTCCTTGTGCCGACGAGCGCGCGATTGCCAGAGGAGGAAGTGAAATCGTGAGAAGCGGAGGTCGCGAGTTAGAACCATTGGTTTCAATTGTCGACAACTTCTGTCAGTTGTGCTAGACGCCAAGATCTAGGTTTTAATTGCCTCTTCGATGTTCAAATCAAGCAAAGCAGCGGTGGAAGCTTGACGCGGCGAGGATGCTTGAGCGAGGAAATCACCCAACATCCTAAAAAGGCTAATCCAAAAGCAGTCCTATCTCTAGCTCTCCCTTCCCTGCGAGTGCTGATGGGAGGCAGTGCGGTTGGCAGGCGGAGCGACGAGAAGGCTAGTGACACGCGGGAGGCGGTCCGGCGGTTGGTAGGCGGGGCGACAAGAGGGTTGGAGATGGAGGCGGAACCCGGCGAAGACAGACTGCGACGGAGGTGCTCTGGTCTAGCAACGACCGACGACACAGGGCTGGAAGCATAGCTGGTCGGAGAATTACGGCGACGGTGATGTAGTGGTCTGAATGGGATCTGAGTAACTTGGCTATAGATTTATAATTCATTATTGGATGGTACTTAGAGGCCATTCTTCTCACTTCAATTAGTTATTATAACTATTTTATTATTTTAATTTATTGTAAAAATGAGGTGGAAATTGTAAATGATTTTATTTTATTATTTTTAAGTGCCACGTCATTTATTTAACGGTCAATTATGAAAGTTGGCTGCCACATAAGCAAAAGTTAACGGAGTTGGACGGAGAGTGACCAAATTTGAACCATTTAACTAATTTTAGTGACCACGAATGGAATTAAATATTTTTAGTGACCAAACATGAACGTTTTTGGTAATCTCAGTGACCAACCTTGTAAATAACCCAAATAAAAAATAACTATTTTCCATGTAAAAACAGGATGTGAGCAATTCGGGTGACCCACAATCCACCTATCACCACCCAATATAAGAGATGTATTATTCCACAATCCACACACATCAACGACACATAGTCAACACTTTGGATTTTTTGCGGATGGATCAGTGTCAAACTGCGAATTACCCACTTTCCACCCACTTGTAGTAAAAGTACATAGACTATGGATTCATATTGATCAAAAGGCGTTCTATTCACTGTAACTTTAGTTTGCTTAGCTTTACTAGGAGACAAAACGTAGTTGTGGAGATCTAGCTTAACATTTTCTTCATTTACATGATCAAATAACTAATTTGCAATACCAAATTGAAAGAGAATATGCAGAGTTTTAACAAGCAAGAGGCAGTTCAAGAATTGCAATTTGCTCCCACCACCAAATTCAAAGGGATTATTGAGAATTTGTACCATATACAACAATACACTTACTTTTGGTGTTAAAAAAACAACACACTCTCACTTTTGGCCATTACTTTAGGACCGCGGCACTTACCCTCTTCTCGAGGTTCGAAATCGCAAGAAAATGCCCTTAGTTAGGTTTTTGCCGACCAGCACTAATTATATATCTTACTTCAGGACAAATATTAATGGCGTGTACACTATTCTTATGTAAAACAAATCAAAACTAGTTTTCATTGATTTTATTTTTTGTTAGAAATAGCTTACGAGTTCGTGTTAGAGGCCGGATGTCTATTAGAGGCCAGATCATTCCACCTTCTACTAACAACAATCATATGCATCATCTACTTTGAGTATTTGACCTTCAGAGCCACCACTACAAGAAAAATGGCTTTTTGCAACCAATAAAATTAGTTCCTAAAGATCAAAAATTGGTTATAAGTACCTTTTTGCGACCAAAATATTTTGGTAGCAGCATTGGTCGCTATAGCTGCGTTACTAATTCCTAGCGCAACCAAAATATGGATTGGTAGCAAAAAAGAAAGCTTTCGCAACCAAAATCGTCAATGGTAAAAAAACCTTACTTTTTCGCGACCATTTTAATTTGGTTGTTATAGTCCAACCTAATGGTTGGGAAATATAATTGATTGGTCGCGAAAAATAAAAATGACAACCAATTTTATGTGACTATTAGTAACCAATTTTTTTGGTCGCAAATAGAATTTACGTACGTTTTATAGGTGACCATTCAATTTGGTCGGGTAATTAACATATGTCAACCAATTATATCATTACAACGACCAATTGTTTAGGTTACGAAAATTTAAAGCAACCATGAAATTTGGTCGTGAAAAGCACATATGCCGACCAATTATATCATTTTAAACTACTAATTATATTTGTTATAAAAGTTTAACACAACCATAACAATTGGTCGTGAAAAACATATATCTCAGCCAATTAAAACATTTTGGCGACCAATAGAATTGGTTATGAAAGTTTAACGCAACCTTAAAAATTGGTCGTCAAAGATACATATGTTGACCAATCATATCATTTTTGGCAACTAATCATTTTAGTTATGAAATTGTTATGCAACCATAAAATTTGGTCGTCAAAAATCCATATACCGACCAATCATATTATCTTAGGCAACTAATTTTATTAGTTATAAAAATTTAACACAACCATAATAATTGGTCGTAAAATATATGAATGGCGACCAACCATATCCTTTACGACTAATTCTTATGGTTATAAAAGTTTAAATGCAACCATAAGAATTGGTTGCGGAAAACATATACGCCAACCAAAAAATTCATTTTATATGACCAATTTTTTCGGTGAGATTTGAGTCACTAAAATGAAAATATAAAAAATTAATAGAATTATAATAAAAAAATTATTTCATATAACAAAATTGTTTACCAACCAAAATTATAATTACACAATTTATTGTTTAGTGACCAAAATCACAATTACACAATCTATTGTTTAGTAAACAAAATTACAATTTATGTGTTGAAGGAAATCACGGCTGTCGACTAGCTTGTTGCTTGCCTTCGTACTCCTTGACCGTTAACTAATGGTTCCTAATTAGTGAAAGACAGCCCCTGTCCCAGCTAAGTAATGGTAAGCTAAAATCCAAGTGATCATTTCAGGACCCAAAAAAACACAAAGTGAAAGGAAAGCTTGTGGAAATGAATTATTAGTATTGATCTCACATAGAAAGCTGTGTTAACTCTAGCGGTGTAGCCAGATTGGAGCTTGATGGAAGTGCCAAAATACTCAGATCGATACGATTTCACTAACTTGAACCCACTTCCTGTAAAAAAAACATACAGAGCAAATGGAAACAAATAATTAGTGAAGAAGAGAAGATGAAGGAGTAGTAATTAAAGAGACCAAACTATGCAGCCATGCCTGAAGTTCTATCCAACCAAATGGTGACTCCATTTCTGTCCACAAGCATCTACAGACTATGGGGGTGAAGATTAGACTTTATATCACACATAAAGGGACACAGAGAAATATACAGAGGCAGCTACCTGAAGTTTGATTGGACTCGAATATACAGAGGCAGAATTCAACTTTGTCAGTCTGGTAACATAAATTCAACATTCCAACAAAATACTGAGGATGTAATGCAACCACTGGGGATGTAATGCAACCACATCTGAGGGTGATGGTCTATAAACTTTAAACCAATCAGCTGCTATCAACTGGAGAAGGAGATTTCCACCCACCACCTGAATGTATTATTACAACCACAGTAAGCATTTAAACAGAAGACTACTAGCCAAGCATAAGATATCTGATGCAGCACCATCAATGGTGATGATAATGTTCTTGAACTGAAAGTTTAAACACTAACCTTAGAGTTAATTATCCTTCTGATTTTAAATCTTGATCCATTCGGAGAAGTCCCATACGTGAACAAAAAGACCAGATGTCTCTTGTATGAAAATTGCAGATCATGCACAGCAGCAAAGCAATCAGTGTTTCTTAAATGCAAGCTTACAAACTCGGAGTTATCGATATGCCAGAAATGAGAGGTCCACAGACACCTCTATCAGGATGCCACGACCAACTCCTCCTGCTTCTTTATGATATCAAAGTCCAGTCGGACTACCTCTCCCTATATGAAATGTATAGACTAACCTGTTAGAGGTTGAATCCCACAGGGAGACATTTACAGAAAATCATATACAATGATATAATCTCCTCACCTGAAAGTCTGATCATTGGAGTACATGATCTCAGCAAAATGAAGCTTCACGATGTAGCGTCCTCTGATCATACACAAGCAGCTGCATCTTCTTGCTTCTGATGTCGACTATTCCGGACATATGATTGATCACATAAGAGATAGATTACTTACCAACTATACCAATATTCAGGACATGGCGGGAACTAGGTGTTTAGATTTACAAGTCAACAAAAGGAAGGTTGCACCTGTAAGTAGAATTGGATGCCACGTAAGATCTGCACATACATTCACCAAGCCCTCTCTAGGAGTTGCTCTGCTAGTCAACATTAGACGATTTGCCACTTCAATCAGTCCCTTGTATCCATTTTCTCAGAGTCCCGTCCTACTCAAACAACTAAAACAAATGAATTAACTAGACGATTCCATTCAATGTGCTAGTAATTTGGCTATTTCACTCACTTAACTGAGATCATCAGTATACACTACTAGAAAGCTCGTCTGTAAATTCAACCCATATAGGCTTGATGCCTCAATTCTACTGAATAATGAAAGGGACAAAAAAGACTTCAAAACACAGGCGAACCTGTTGTTCCAACATCTGGATCTAGTCATCCTTCAACTTTAGAGCTTTTTTCTGGCTGCGGATCTAGAAAACAGGAGTGACAGCAGCTCGAGTACAGTAGCAAGCCATCTATAAGAACCAAAAGACAGAAATATACAGTCGATAAATCACATAAATCTTACAACTTCCTCGCGAAGAACAACGAAAGCTTTACGTCCTTGACGATGCATAGCTTTGATCTTCTGCCGATTCATTGTATTCATTTCAGCAATATGCTGCAAAATACACAGACACATACATACATACATAATGTCATATATATACATTCATTGTATTCTTATGCTGCAAAATACACAGACACATTTCAGCAATATGCTGCAAAATACAAAGACAGCAATATGCTGCAAACCTTGATTATTATCTCAAATCATAAGAATACAAACTTTGCACTTACAGCTAATACACAAGTTATAGTATCTTATTGTTCTTTCTTCCTGTCTAAAGAACTATATAATTGTATCTCTAGGAGCTCCAAGTAGTCCCTTCTGCCTACAAGTAGTGATTGATCTTACAAACAAGTGAATCAAAGAAAAGCTAATAATACTGCCAGAGCTTTTTGCTTGTTCTGCTTTAGCAGTGGTCTAGAGAAGAGTCAGGATGTTTGTTCAGTTTATATTTTTATTGCTCATTTAGTGATATTACATCACAATTAATTCTAAAAAAAGGAAAATCTAATAACAACGTACCATAGTTTTGCTGTCACTCCAGTAGTCAATCAAAACATTCCAATTCTCCTGGCTTATTCCAGAAGGCTTCTTTGCTCGAGCTTCCTCTGCATCTCGACAATTCAGAAATATTTGCTTAAGGCGGTGACGTTGTTGCTTGCATTGTCTTTGTAACAACTCATTAATAGAATCCTGAACAGGCTCTTCTTCAATATCCTCCACTTCTAGTTGCATCTGTTATAAAAAAAATGGAACAGAAAATGTCAGTAATGTGACATCATAAAGCTAATAGAATAAGAAACTGAAAATACTTACACCAAGCCTATCATACGCAGATGTTAAATGATTTTTCTTGAACTCCCTGGTCTAGCGAATCGGGATCTCATCCAAATACTCTCGGCTTATCAGACCAAGCTCACTAGACAGCTTGGCAGATTGGACACCGTTAGTTGGTCGACCTTGCATAACGTCGATCTTGATAGGCAACTTCTCCTTACCCATAGCAGCAGCCAACTTGACAGTATCCAAACCTCTGGTAGGGCCTCTTGTGTTGTTCTTCTTTTGATGATTTGGATTTTCATTCTCAGATGAAGAAAACATCCTATCTTCTTCTACCTCGAGTTCATTAAGAATTTCTTCTCCTGTAGGTATGTCGTTGGCAGGAGCCTTGACCTTTTTTGAAACATTAGGCTGGGCAGATTCGTTCCAAGAAGCAGGCAGGCCTCTAGTTTTTTTCTTCTTCTTCGTATTTGGATCATTATGTACAACTTCTGAAGGTCCACTGTTTGGACGAACATTGAACATCTTTGAAACATTAGGTTGGGTAGATTGTTTCGAAGAAGAAGCAAAGACTTTGTTGCCCTGCTGACTTTGGCGTTTCATATAGAGTGCCATGATCAACTTATCCTATATAACAGAAATGGAAAAAATCAGCATCATAATAAAAGGATTATGTATTGATCGACTGACTATACTATTCTAGTTAGATATCATCAAACCATTACATCTGGGATCTATCTCCTTGTCATCTCAACAAGAAGGTAGGTCTAACTAATTTAACTTTTTAACCACACTAACACAACATAATCAGCCACAATACTGCAGAATGTGGACAAACAGCCAGCTAAACTTGATTAAATATAGACAAAAAAATCTCTCAGCAAGCACTTTGTTCGAAGAGAATCGACAGTAACCTCTATAAGGATCCCATCTAGAGAAATTCCTTGTCTCCCCTAACTCAATAAAAAGGAAAAGAACTAGGATCTAAAATGCTCATCTACAGACCTACCATTGACTGCTCGAGGGATGGTTCAGAACACTAAAAATGCAGTTACTACCGGCTAGAGGAGCAACAATAGAAACAATGAAATGTAAGACCAGGTTAACATGCGACGGAGTTACAAGATCAGAGGAAGAACAGAAGAAGGTATGCAGCAGGCAATATGAAACACCAAGCACTCAATGTCTTTTTAACTCATGGTAATTGAAACAGAGGTGCACATTGCAGAAATAACTAACATAGGGATCTTAATTACAACAATCCTTTGCTTTTCTCTACCCCTGCAGCTCCAGTTTACAGAATCGCTTTATACACGGAACATATGTTGTTTACCTGAAGCTTGAAGTCAGCCGGTGATAATTAAATAGCTTAGGATTGGCTGACACCATGATATAAAAAAATAAAAAAAGACCAGTCGAGATAGTCGTGGAGTTGCCTAGACCTTCTCAAGAGAAATGCATTATGACAAGTTGTATGCAGCAGAGAGTCTATTTGAATCATCAACTATCCCTTTCAATTCTCTAATCTCAAACAAGTAAACCACCTAGATACTAAATTCCATTCCACCTAACTACATGGATTATGTAGCCAACCTCAGTAGTCGATCCCTCTCATCCTTGTAAGAAATCACATAAGGGCTCTGTTGACTCCTTCAGGCAACAAATTAACAAAGGGAAACAGTAGTCTCTTGAGAAAAGAACCTCAAGCAAACTTGTTTACAACTACAGACTTTTTCTTCATCAGCTCTAACATTTCAGATACCAACCAAGCAAAACAAACTCGAAACCATGCCCCTAATCTCATAAGGCCGAATCCGACAACTACAGAACGCGCAATCGAATTCGATTCGCCAATCTCAAACAAGTAAATCTGCAATACATCGACTAAATCGAATCCAAGTTCGAATCCAGTTCAAATTCGAAATCAAGGTACGCAACTTGAACTCGGTATTCTGATACGATATGAAAAGATAACAAATCCGATGCGGATCGAAATTTGACCGAGCTCAAAGTGAAAATAGGATTCAATCGAATTTCAAACTAGTTAAGCTTAGATAGAAATCAGAAATAGGCTAGGATCTGTTACCTTATGAGAATCGACAGAGAGGGAGGAATTATCGAACGAAGCCGACGAACTCTTTATTTGCTTTCAAAATCGTGATTCCTCTGCAGACTGGAGTAGCCGAACCTCAAAGAAGCAAAATAGGGAATCAGATTAAGAGGAGACGGGAGAAGAGGAGAAGCTGGAGTCAGAACCGAAATCGAGAAGAGGAGGAGGAGAAATCTAATGGAATCGACATGAGGAGATGGAAGAAGAAGAAGAAGAAGAGGAGGAGAACTCGAATGGAATCAAATAATGAAAGACAAGTCGAAAACCTCGTCTCTTACCCGACCGACCGACCACTTGAATGGCAGCTAATGAACGACAACATTTGTTTTTCATAATTACTATTACAACCACTAAGTTTTAATAATATCAGATATAGTACCTATATAACAAATTGACAACCAAATAATTTAGTTGCTGGATTTTTTATTGGATTTGCAACCAAATTATTTAGTTACCTAAGATTTTCAAATTTCTTGCTTAAATTCATAACCAATAATATTTGGTTGGAGAAAGTAAAAATCAATATTTTACCAAATTATTTGGTTGGAAAAACTAAAAATAAATTTGCTACCAAAATTTTTTGGTTGGAAAAGGTAAAAATTATTTTGCTGCCAAATTATTTGGTCTCTTCAAGTTTTATTTGGTTATCAATACTTTGACTTTAATAGACAACCAAATTTATAATATTTTAGCTACCAAAATATAATTGGTTGTAAATACTACCCTTTTCACAACCAATTTTAATTTGGTTGTAAAATTTTTGGTTGCAAAAGCTAGTTTTTGTTGTAGTGCACCGTAAACCTTGATAAAAACTTTGGCACTATTTGACCTTCACCCTAACTTTGGCACTATTTGACCTTCACCCTGGACATGGAATCGAGAAACATTCAATATCAGTGCATCTAGGGACATATTTCAAAGGATCGACGAAGATTTTGGCCATTTTCCATATCAATAGCTCGAGATATCGGGAAAATACCATTTTATAATTAATTAAGTAGTACTTTCATTAAACATATTTTTTGTGAATCAAAATTTATTCTAAATTATACAATCAATAAATACAATGAAATAATTATTTTGATTAAATATAATATATGTTAAATTAAAATATTAAACATAATATACTTCTATATTTAAAAAAAAATATAATTTCTTTCCCAATTCCATAGTTAATATGTGCAATGAACTCATTATCATGTTCAAATATAATATTTTTGTCAAACTTAAATAATAAACATAATTTATTTATAATTTAAATATAAATTTAATTTTTTACAGTAATTAACAAAATGTATTCATAAATTCAAACCCCAAATGAAATTTAAATACTAGAAACAGTTTATCTCTAAATTACACAATATAGTAAACGCATTAAAATCTGAAGTAACCCTAGCAATCACAAAAAAGGTTTTGCGCGATGGATTTTGGTGATAGTTTCGAAAACCAATGCTAATAATCATCATAAGAAATGGGGCAATTTTCTCCTACGGCGGGAGCCTGGCCGGACCCAAGATAACGTGGGCCCTAGTCGGGACGACCATCTCCTTCGGTCGACAGGATTGTGGCGACAGTTTCACAAACGATGCTAAAATCACCAACCGATTTTTGAGTTCACTGGCTGGTAGTGACGATTTTTTGCGATGGCTTCTTAGTTGACAATAAATCCATCCTCCAATCTTTTCGCTTACAAGCTGAAATGGTCACCCTACTTTAGGTCTTAGCCATATACACACACGAAAGAAAAATCCTATTGAAAGAGAAGAGGGAAAACCTAAGTAAGAGTTATACTCTAATAAATAGAAGATAAATTAACTGCCAAGAAAAGTCTTGTTAGTACAACAAGAAGAGGAAAATGTATCACTTCTATTATGCTATAAAGCATCGGTGCTTTAATGTACAACTTAAAGTTGTACCATTACGTAAAATGTATAAGTTTGGGTTGTATCATAAAGGAATTTGTACCCTTATGTTTTGATACAACTTCACAACTTCAAGTTGTACCATAAAAAAATGTGTAAAATAGTATAAGTACAGGCTGAAGTTAAACCATAACATTAAAAGTACAATTTGAAGTTGTACCATAAAAGTAAAAACCTATAGCACCAATGCTATATAGCGTTGTAAAATTTCTCGAGGAAAATGTTACTTCTTTCAATCTTTATGGCATGGTGGTTGAATAGTTTATCATGGTCGGTTTGGTCACTCAATTGATTGGTTCATATATCATTGATTTCAACATCCTAAAAGCAAGAATTATTAAATCATATCATTAGACAAATCGTAAAAGTCATCTCGTGTTATTAAGACTGATATGTTACACAAATAATTATGAAAATAACATATTAGTCAATTTTTCTTAGTTAAATCGGAAATCTGTGATCATACCAGTTTATATTTCATAGTATTACAATGATATAATATTATTTGGGAATATTATTTTATATAACAATAGTTTTGCAATGAGATGCTTTAAGCTAATTACTGTCATAGCACTGAAATACCATCACCTAACTTGTTCCTACTGTTTTACAAACTATTCCTCGAAGTAACTTCACTACTATATATGATGCGAAGGATCAAGATGATCTTTTTGTTTAAGGATGTAAGATGATCTTTTTGTTTATGATTAATTGGAGAAATAAAGAAAATTGAATCTTGTACATTATTAATTACACATAAAGATGATGGTGAATAAATTATGTGACCAATTTCATGATGTTTTCCAAGGAAGTCGTCTTGTCGAAACAAACATATGAGCAAACCGGGCCCATTCATGATGATTATTTTCGTTTATTAATTAATGGTAATGATGGTGAATCTACTAATTTTTACAGAAATGATAAGATAATAGATAAATTAAACGTTGAGCTCTGTGCTTCACAAATCTTATTAGTCTTCGGTAGACTGTCAAGACGTGTGGTCCTGATAACTTTTATATACCCTCTAAATGTTCTATAAATATTATATTTTTTTTTTGATCGGATCTATAAATATTATATTCGACAATAATATCATTCTAATTAAGGAATTTTTCTAGCTAGCACATAGAGGGAATACTTAATATGCCATTGTACAGTGTATATATACTGTTTATTTTTCTCATAATCGTTGACGATATATTGTTTATTCATAAAAAAAAACATTTTGATCTTAAATTATACTATGATGATTGATGAGCAAAAATATACTGAATCAGTATTTGTCGTACTAAAATTTAAATATCTTCACCATAAACGTATGAAAATGACTTTGATGCCCCTATCCCAAATTCAAACCCTAATCTCTAAACAAACACAATTTCACCCAATCTCACCCTCTGCTCCTTATCGTCCCGTCCACCCGCCGGATCTCGGCAACCGCTGCCGTTTGCCAACCCGTCATAACTCTGATTCCCCCAACCCGCCATCGTTGCGTTTCCCCGAGCCGGATTCTGGCCGTCGTGGCCATTCCCCCCCAACACACAGTCGTTGCCATTCCCTCCACTCT